ACGCCTGACCCCGCCAGTGTGATGGCGTCTCAATCTCATCCTCCGGGGTTGTGACCCACCTCGAGATCTGTGCCAGTCGGTGCTTAGTCCTGGGGCCCTCAAGTCCACGGTGGTGGGTGGGCTCAGCCAATGAAGAAGCGCGAGCCAGAAATGCTTTGGAAACCAGTCTGCAGCTCTGTCTCCCAGCAGAAGGCCGGACTTGTTCATGGCCTTGGTCCTTGTGGCGCCCGCACTCATCCGCGTGACGATTTCGTTGCTTTGGAGTTACTGGATCCGCTTTTAGCGAGCCTGTGTCCGTGACTCGACCTTCCGAGTCGATGTCCCACGATAGACGATGTTGTGCAATGGACCTTTTCAGCTGGACAGATTTACTAATTCGTCTGACCCTCCCTCCCCGGAAGACTACAAATACGCAGGGAGGGAGCTTGCAGAAGTCTCCGCCGCCTGCACCAGTGCACAGGCTGCTGTTTGCACTGAGAACGCAGATAGGATGGCGAAGGACAAATGAACAGGAGACACTGCCACACTCGAGCCCTGAACTGCGCTCCAGCCCTGAACGGTCCTGGAGAACATGAGTCATCCGGCACTTGACCGTCGTGGACACTTGACCATGCTCGAGCCCTGGGCGGTGCTGCACCCGAAAACCTTAAGAAAACGAAAGGAAAGCAGAGACTACGGAGATTCTGTCGTCCACCCACCGAATTGGTCCTCTTTCAGGAAGCCGGGGTCGGATGCCTTGGGACACTTGCACGGCGGAAAACGTGCGTTTCGACCGCATCGGTATGAAGTCGCCTAACAACAGACAAGGGATGAATTTCCAGCGGTTAGAAACGAAGGCGAGCGGAAAGAACAGGATCCGAAAACGAATGGAAACCGGGGCGTCCTGATCGTACCTGGGACCTGAAATGCACCTCAGGGCCCGCGGACTAACCGCGGACAGGCTTGCCGGCCACAACCCCGGAGGGTGAGAGTGAGAAGCCATCACACCGGCGGGGTCAGGAGTCTTTCCCGCGGTACAAAAGCCATAGCAGCACCGCGAACAGAGAAAAGAAAGCGAAAGGGCGAAGGCCACAGGAGACAGCGCCGCACTCGAGCCCAGGACCCGGAAAACCGTCAGAGCAACCAAGAGAAGTCAGCGTCGACATAGATACAGTCCTGAAAAAACCGAACCAACCTGTGGTCATCCAGTCGGTTGGGCGCGGATGTCTTGGGACACTTGTCCGGAGAAAACGTGCCTTGGCCCATGGCAGTGGGCATTGAATCTGCTAACGTGCCGGATAACGTTAGCGCTAAAAATACTAACGCTAAAAAAAATAGAAGTTTCAGCGTTTAGCAAAAAACGGAGAATGTAGCGCAGAGGACGCGAAAACGAATCCAAACCGCAGCGTCCTGACCGCGTCGGGTGCACACTCGCACCGGGGCCCCAAACGTTTCTTGTGTCCTTGTCCTCTGGTCGTCCTGTTCGTGGTTGTGGTCGAATCCTGCTGCAGTCAGCCTGGCAGAACCGGGTTGCAGTCGCTATTAGGAAAGGACCGAGGCCTTTCTAAACGCGAAACTTATTCCGTTTTCTTTCCTTAGTGAATTCAGTGCCCACCGAAACCAGGAAAGACAAGTTCACACTCAGCAAGTGTCCCATGACACCCGATCCCGCCGCCTGGAGGAGGACAAACGCGCTGTTTGCACCGCGGAATCTTCGGGGACAGCCCGGTACAGGGCCGGAGTATGGTGTGCGCCTAATCCCTATGGCCCTCCAGTTAAGCCCCTGGCACGTACTCATTGGACCGGCCAGACGCTGGACCCCGCAGGCCTGATGGCTTCTCACTCACACCCTCCAGGGTTGGGTCGGGCCTTGAGAACCTGCGCCTGTCGCCGATTTGTCCGCCGCCCGGGTCCACGGTGGTGGTGGGCACAGCGGGAGCGGCAGGCAATAAAGTCCCAGCCACAACCCAAAAAACGCTTCCAAAGCCAATCCGCAGCACCACGTCTGAGCTGCAGTCCGGACTCTTCTTAGCCAGAGCGGTTGCTGAGGAGCCAGGAGTCCGCCCAGTGGTGATTCCCAGTGCACAGCGCCAGGTCTTGCGGTTTTGCGGGATGGTGATCCGCGCCTGCCAGCGATTCGTCCAGGCAGCCAACCTCTGATCCACTGTCGGCAGGCGGGGCTGCAGTCCGACCGCGATCTCAAACCGCGTCCGTGATTTTCGGCCTCGGTCCTTTGGTGTTGCAGACGGAATCCGGCGCTGCCAGGCAGGATGTGAAGACATTCTACTGGAACCACGAACCCGATGGCATAAGAGAGACCCTGGAGGAAACTTTGGCGCCTTGGTGAGAGTGTGCATGCGACACGGTCAGGATGCTGCGGTTTCGGTTCATTTTCGCGTCCTCTACGCTCCATTATCTGTTGTTTAAACACGGAAACTTGGGTGTTTTGTTTTGTTTGTTGGTTGTTTTTTTGTTTTTTGTGGTTTTTTTTTTTTTTTTTTTTTTTTTTTTTTTTTTTTTTTTTACGTTAGCGGGTCGGCCAAGGCACATTTTTTCCAGCAAGTGTTCCACGACATCCGTGCCCGACCGACTGGATGACCACTAGTTCGGTGTTTTCACGACCGAATCTCCGCTGCCTTCCTTTAGTTGCTCTGACGGTTTTCAGGGACAGGACGATCCAGGTCTCCAGTGCGCCGCTGTCTCCTATGGTCTTCGCTCTCTGGCCTTCTTTTCTCTCTTCGCAGCTTGGCTACGGCTTTTGTTCCGCGGGAAAGACCCCGGGCCTCACCGGTGTGACGGCTTCTCACTCTCACCCACCGGGGTTGTGACTGGCCTTGAAAGTCTGCGCCAGGCCGTGGATAGTCTGCGGACCCTGAGGTGCATTTCGGGTCCCAAATACGGTCAGGATGCTGCGGTTTCCATTCCTTTTTGGGTCGTCTTCGTTCAGCTCGCCTTCGTTATTAAGCGCTGGAAATTGGTTCGATTTCTGTCTTTAGGGGATTTCATTCCACGGGGCAAGTGTCCCAAGACATCCGGTCCCGGCTTCCTGAAAGAGGACAAATTCGGTGGATGGACGACCGAATATCCATAGTCTCTGCTTTCGTTTCCTTTTGTCAATGATTTTCGGGTACTGCACGGCCCAGGACTCAGGCGCCATCAAGTACTCTAGTGTTTGAACACGACCAAGTGCTCCGTGATGGTACACGTCTCAAGTGAGCCACTGATTGCTATTCCTTTACCCTCTCTCCATCAGAACAAAACGCCGGACACCGAGGGTGTGGCTTGGCTTCAAGCGGCTCCAGCTCAGTCCAGTGTTCGTTGACAGCCAAGTCCTCGAATATGGTCCAGTGCTGGATGACGATCAAGTGTAGATGACAGCCCTCTCGTGGTCCTTTCTCCGTTCTAGGTGCGGAGACATTCCTGGACGGCAAGATGCGGGACGTTGCAGGCGTGAGGACTTCTCACTCACACCATATGGGCTTGTGACAGGCCTGGAGAGTCTGCCCCAGTCGACGGTGAGGCCGACCAAGTGCTCTATGATGCTCAAGCGCTCCATGACAGTCCAATGCTCAACTCAATGCCGGTCCAGTGCTCGAAGACAGTCAAATGCTCCATAAAGGTCAAGTGCTCGATGATGTTCCAGAGATCGATGATGGTCCAGAGCTCGATGAAGTGTCAGGGGATTTTTGTTCTGATGCCGTCGAAATGCAGGTTGTCCGCGGGGCAAATCTCCCAGGACATCTGGCCACCTGAAAGAGAACGAATTCGGCGGTTCCTCGACCGAATCTCCTTCGCGTCCGCGTTCCTTTTATTGCGTCGACGGTTTCCCTGGACAGCATGGTCCAGAGAACGATGGAGTCGCTGTCTCCAAGGGCCTTCGCTCTCCAGTCCTCCTGTCTCTGGTCCCGGCATGGCTACCTCCCTGGCCAGTGCTGGTACCTGCTGGCAAGATGCTGGACTCCCCCTGTCTGAAGGCTTCTCACTGGCACTCCCCGCTCTTTGGCGGGGAGTTTCATCTGGGCCAGTCCGGGGTTAACACCTAGGTTCCACCCTGGTGGGTGGGCACAGCCGGACTGGGACCAATGAAGAAGTCCCTGCCAGAAGCCAAAGCGCTTTTCAGGCCAATCCGCAGCTCCGACTCTGGCTGCAGACCTGAGGCTTCTTCACCTCAGGGGTCACTGTGGCGCCTGCATTCTCCTTCCCAGGGATTGCCATGGCACAAAGTCAGAGCTCTGGAGCTTCTGGACCAGTGTTCAGTTCGCATCTGTGATTAGTCCTCTGAGTCCAGTTCAGTCAGATAGGCTGCCTGCAAGCTCAGGAGAGGGTCTTTTTGTGGCGCCCAAAGATATTTCTCTGGTGGGGCGCTGTCCGGGGTGCCTTCTCTATGTCCTTCCCCTCAAGGGCGGGGCTAATGCCTAGGAGAGTTTCCATACAGCACACAAGACTCTGGATTACCTGGCCTGAGGGCTTTTCTCTCACAACCTGAGGATTTTGGTCTGGCCTTGGGATCCAAGGCAAGACCATAGTTATTCAGCCAGTCCGTTTTTCCCAACGTTGGGAGAAAACAATGGGATCCCAGGACCTTGAGGAAGTAGATATCAGAAAGTGACATGGTCCAGATGGAGATCCTTACTTAACTCAGCCTCTGAGCTCCAGGAAGTTCCTTGATTGACTGCAATTTATTTGGCTTGGCTGTCAGTACTGTAGCACGGATCTAAAAAGGTCTTATTAACAAAATCAAATTCAGGGCCTGTTGTTGGGGTGAATGCTGGAAGATCAGAGAAGCAGAACAAGCTACAGCTTCTTCATTCTGCCAATTCCTCAGCTGATCCTGTTTCCTCAGACTGGAAGCCTCTGAGTCCTCATCCAAATGGGTCTCAGCTGAACTGCTGTGGCTGAAAAGCCTAAAAGTTTAACCAGTTCTAGTTCCTCATCCTCATGCCTTAAATACCTTTCTGCTTCCTGCCATCACTTCCTGGGATGAAAGGCATGTGTCACCATGTCTGGCTGTTTCCAGTGTGGCCTTGAACTCACAGAGCTCCAGATGGATCTCTGCCTCCAGAAGGCTAGGATTAAAGTTGTGAGTGCCACCATTTTCTGGCCTCTCTGTCTGTCTAGTGGCTGTCTGTTCTCTGACCCTAGAAAAATTTATTAGGGTGCACAATATTTTGGGGAGCACAATATCACCACACAGTACCTCCTGGAGTATTTGGTGTTTTCAGCTCTGTAATTTATGAATGCTCTGTTAGGTTTGTATTTGCTTTTGTGACATTTAATGGTGTAACACATGTAGTGTGGTACCTGGGTACTGTATCCAGTTTCTAGTAACATTTATATTTTTGTTAGAATCTTTTTCCTTCTCTTTCCTCCTTGCAAACCCTCCCATCCCAGCCCTTTTCAAATTCCTAGGTAATTTTTTCACTGATGGTTATTGCAGGAACATTTTTGAATTTACAGATATTACTGAATATACCCTGAATTATGGTTTTTAATGGTATGGCTTGCTTAACACTGTAACCCTTCTATTTGCCTTAACAGTTTTTAATTAATTAATTAATTAATTAATTAATTAATTAATTATTATGTATACAACCTGTATGACTGCAGGCCAGAAGAGGGCACCAGATCTCATTACAGATGGTTGTGAGCCACCATGTGGTTGCTGGAAATTGAACTCAGGACCTCTGGAAAAGCAGTCAGTGCTCTTAACCTCTCCAGCCCTTCTTTACAATTTTAACCTTGTAACTCTGGTAACACTGTAACAGTTCTCTATGCTTGATTACAGTTTTAGTGCTATAACTCAAATAATGCTGCCTCTGATTTGTATGTGTATTTACCTGGTTTTTATCAGTGCTGCTGCTGTTGTTTTAAGTTTGCATTTTACCTCTCTCTGTGTTATCTCCATGGATGTCTGAATACCACTTGCATGCCCAACATTCTTGAGGGAAGAGAATCCACATACCCATGTTATACTTAAATAATGATGTTGCCTTATTTACAAAAGCTAAGTGATATAACCAAGGAAAGTATCCAGCAAAGAGAGATCGGGTGAAGAGTGTGTGGGGAACACACATGACAGTTTTATTTTCCTTCACCAGAAGAAAGACATCATCTGATCTGGAGAAAGATGCATGTACCTGGAGAGAATCACACCAAGTGGATGACCAAGTCTCCAGATGACAGATATCCAGTGTCTCTCATTTGTGGAGCCTCGATTTGGCAGATACATGAGACTGTTTTGCTCTATCACATGAGAGTATCTGGGTAAAATGTGTGAAGAAAAATTGGCTAATGATATCAGGGAGGTGTGAGAAGTAGGAGAGGATTGCAGTATTTGGAAATGGACTCAAAGAGGACTATGTAGTTGCAGGAAATTAATGTCAGGCAGCCCCATACCACCTAATAGAGGTGACTCCTGGCACCCTGTGCTGATCTGAAAATTGAGACAGCCACACTTTGAAGACAATGACTGTTCTTTGGACTTTATTGTGCTGATGTGTGAAGTTAAACTTGAAATCCAAAGGAAACAACTTGAATCAACACAATCAAAATTTACCCTGCACTTCCTTTGCCTGAAGGAGTCTGATCCTTCCCATAAAGGCTAACTTTTTTTTTTTTATGAAATAATCCTTTCAAATGAAAAGTCTGTCCTTTAAATAAATGTTTAACCTGTAAGAAGATGAACAACCATTTTCATGAAAAGTCAATTTAATGGAGTCTGAAATATCAAGGTTAACATCACCCTGTTCTGATTCCATGTTGATTTTGTTAAGACAGTTCTCAGTCCTTTACCCCACCCTCCAATGTCCACACATTCAGATTTCCATGGACTTGACCTTGGTCCAGATGTATTCACCCAAATAATTAAAGTAAGCCAAAATATCAAAAAACTATAGACAAGAAAAACACCTGCCTTAACATGTCAGGAATGAGCATTTCAAGATTACCCTGATCATTATCTAACTTTGATGTGAATTATTGTCTTTGTGGCTTTTCCCTTTAAAAATTAGGTATGCAAAGCTTGGTTTCCAAGAGATTTTTCAGAGGCATGAGACTATTGTGTATCTGACCATCAATAAAAAGTACTTAAAACTTTTAGTTGGCTTAATTAACCTGGTTGTCTACCATTGTTTCCTGGAGTTACTATTAAGTCAATCCTTAAATAAATATTCAAACTGTACAAAAAAGTGCATCATTTGGATAAAATACCAACATTTAATGCAGTCAAACCTTCAAATAAAAGGAAAAACAACGGGGTTGGGGATTTAGCTCAGTGGTAGAG